CTGAATGCAGATCAAAGCATACTTTTCCATAATTTTTTTCTCATGTTTCACAACATGACTAAAGTGGAAATATGTTTTGCGTGACTGCTCATGTATAACTTATATCAAATTGCTTGCCTTTTCAATGCGGGGCCTGGGGGGAGGAGGGGAGGAGCACAGGGAGGGAGAGAAACTGGAACTCAAAATAAAAAAATGTAAAAAATTGTTTTTTACATGTAATTGGGGAAAAATAAAATATTAAATCATTGGAAAAAATAATATGGGCCCCTATGGATTGTTATGTATAGTTCAGTATCCTCCATTCCTATTTGATACTTTTAATTTAGACATCTGAGTTCTGATTTTTATTCATAAATATCTAATTTGGCATTATATCTAACTGTTGAACTACCTCAAATCCTTTTGGAAGTAGGCTTGGCATAAATCCTAAATAAATAAAGTAAATAAAATAAAAGGTAAATAAAAAAGTAGTTTCAAGTATTCAAAGTAAGTCTTGTAAAAAAAATGTGTGTGTAAATGCTTGTTATTCCAAACGTAATCTTCCTTACTTTTTGGATTCAATTCAGTTGAACACATTTTATTAAGTTCCTACTTGGTATAATCTGTACCTTAGCAAGATTTTACTTGATAACATATTCTATAAGTGGTTATCTAACCTTTACTTGAAGATCTTGGGAGAGGAGAAATAGACTTCATTACCTCCTGAGGCTACACAAATTCAACTATTGTTATTGTTCTGGTTCTTAGGAAATTTGGTGGCAGATTGTCTGAAAACTTGGTAGATCTTCTCTGCAGAATTTATATGATGGCATGATTGAAATTTACAAAGTCTGAAAAGGCGTGGGGGGGGGGCTGCCAAGGTGAATAGAGCACTGGATCTGGAGTCAGGAAGACAGTACAAATCCAGCCTCCAACACTAACTAACTGTGTGACTCTGGCCAAATCACTTAACCTCTTTCAGCCACAGATTCCTCATCTGTAAAATGGGGATAAAAATAATAGGGCCCACCTTCCAGGGTTATTTTGAAGATAAAATGAGATAATATTCGTAAAGCACTATACAAATGATAGCTATTGTTATTTTCATTAAATTAAAAAGGATACACAGTGGGACTCCTCTCACCAGTGTTGTATATATGCTGCTTTTATAAGGAAAAAAAATCACATAAATCACCCTTGCAATTTCACAGAATTTCAAAGTTCAAAAGCTAACTTTGATGGCTAGCTCACCATTAACCACCAAAGATGGCACAAAACATAACATTCCACACCATAGTCACAACTAATAATGATTTTCTTTGTCATTTTTTAATGGCAAAACAGTCAAATGCCTGCATACTGATTTGCACACCTTTTTATGCCCTATTCCCTAGCTTTCTGGAGAATAGCTGGAGAATATGACTCACTCAAGTGACCTGAAGATGTAAGTATAGATAAACCTCCTGAGGTCCTTTGGGGTGGGGGAATGCCTTCATCTGGAAAGACTTTAAGAATTCATTGAACCTCAAGGAGAAGAGAATGCATCCCCATGGTCACTCAGGGGAAGCAACCCCAATGTGCACAGTAGTGAGTGAAAATGCTTCTTTTCTTTCCACATCCAAGAAAGTTATTGTTCACATCTTCCTTGTCGTGGTTTGTCCTTTGTTCTCAAAGAGGACCATGACTTCAGAAAGGTCATACCATGACATGCAAGTGAAAGGGGAAGGCTGTGGGAAGCGATAGGGAGGGCTGTGCAAAGTCATCAGCCTCACTTTCTCCTCTGGAGCCATCTGGGTCCAGTGGCGAGATATAGATCAGGATGCCTGGAGATGACCCTGGATGCAGTGGGAGACCTTGACCTTTTTAAGCCAAGGTGTTTAACAGGTCTCAGTTTGACTGAAGCAATGCCTCATTTAGTGATTAGGAAGGGTAAGAAATGAGGCAGAGTGGCCTCCATTACCTAGTTAAAAAAAATCAGGGGCAGCTAGATGGTGCAGTGGATAGAGCACCAGCCCTGGAGTCAGGAGGACCTGAGTTGAAATCCAGCCTCAGACACATGATACTCACTAGCTGTGTGACTCTGGGCAAGTCACTTAACCCCAATTGTTTCACCAAAAACAAAAAACAAAAAACAACAATCTGGGAGGGGAAGACCCTTAGGGTTTCTGGCCAAAATAGAAACAGTTGCTATTTACATTCATTCTCAGACAATCAGGGCCCCAACAATGATCAAGTGGAGCTTGGCCTGGGACCTAGTTATATAGTCAATATATAGTTATATATATAGTCATATAGTTATATAGTCATGTAGTCAATGAGAGCTTGAGTAATGTGGGTTGAAGTCATGGTCCTTAAGGAAAAAAATTAAGGGGCAGGTAGGTGGCGAAGTGGATAGAGCACTGGCTCTGGATTCAGAAGGACCTGAGTTCAAATCCGACCTCAGACACATAACACTTACTAGCTGTGTGACCCTGGGCAAGTCACTTAACCTCATTGCCAAAACAAAAACAAAAAAAAGGAAAAAGAAATCTAGGCCATAAAGCCCTAGATCCCTAGATATCTTGCAAAGTTTCTTATTAAAATTTATATTCCTTTTGGCAGGTAAAGGTGTGATACTCTATATGTAGACAGAGGGAAAGGAAAGGGAGTGGAGGGGAAGAAGGAAGGAGAGAGGGAACTAGGGAGGGAGAAGAAAGGAGGAAGGAAAGAAGTTAGGAAAAAAGGAAGAACATCTTCCTAGGTAAAAAGTGAAAGGAAAAGTAGGCTGTTTAACTAGAAAGAGAGTTTTCTATTATTTACAAAGTTGTGAAGCCTGATAATTGAAAAACTGAGTATTAGAGTTGAGAGAAAGCTGGAAAGGTAAACAAAAGTAGGAAGGCTCTTTGAGAAGTGAAAAACTGAGAGAACTAAAATGATGATGTATAGCTTAAATTCCTTACAATGAGAAACAAAAAGAATGAATGCAATAGTAAGGCAATCACCATCAGGGAAACTGCTGCTCTTTATTTAAATTTCCAGGTGTGAGTCTTAAAAACCAGAAAGCAAGTTTGCAAATGATTGAAAGGGCTTCTGTGAATCAGTTTTCTACCAAATCAAACTGTAAATACCTAATGTCAATCCTTACCTTTCCTTTGGGGAAGGGCTGAAAAGAATGTGGCTGCAATTACACACAGAAAGTATCAGGAGAAAGCTGGGTTGGATTTATTGGAAAAATGACAGAGCAGCTACCTTTTATGTATTTTATGTGCTGGTAAGAAATATATTGGGTTTTCTTGACCACAAACATCTAAAGATGTCCTATGTTTTCTTTAATACTTAAATGCATCCCCGGCTAGATCATATTTGCTGATGGTTATTTAGAAATACAATATTCTATCTCTTTTCATCCTCATAATCATAAAAATGGTTGACTATTTCAAAATTCTCTGACTTGATTCCAGTGGGGAGGAATAAACATAATTCTTTTTCTTCGGAGTCATATCTTCAGAGGCTTTACAATATTGGCCTTTGGGATATGATTTTTTTTTTAAAGCCCACTTTATGGGGGAGAGATTTTGCCTAAGTGGGGAGTGAGCACAGCAAGGACATTTCTGGGGATCAAGAGCAAGGCCAAATTTTGACAAAATCAAATGCATACCACTTAGCTTCTTACTAATTGCTCATTTTTGTTATTTTCCGTGCCCCTCTACCCAGAGATCTCATCAGTTGGGCACATTTTACAAATGATAAAAGTTTAATTGTGGGTTGATGGGCATTTTTCAAACCAGGGGATGTAAACCCTAGATGGGTTAAAAGAGTTCAAGGGAGTCAAAGAGATTCAAGCTGTGGTGCTCAAAAAATGTGCACCATGATTAGAAAATCAAGTCTCCAGTGGGCATATTATCCCAAACAAATCTCCCTTTATTGACAGCACCTACAATACTCTGCTTAATTACTTGCTTTGTCGGGGGAAAAGAGGTGGGCTCCTCATCCTACTGACAGCATCTGCTCTGCTTAATTACAGGCTTTGTCTCCCTCCAGGGCTGGGGCTGCATTTCCTCTTACTCTGCAGCACAGCTGGGAAGACCTTTGAAACACAAACGATTAAGGAGTCCCAGGTCAAGGGAAGGTCTGAAGCAGGGCAACTCTGCTAGGTCTGGCACGGACAGAAAGCAGCCTACCCACCCCCAGGGGAACAGGGAACAGGGAGAAAACGAGCAGGAGGCAAAGCACAGAAATGGCCTGATTGTTCATGTTCTTCCAGAGTAGACCTACAATCATGGCAGGGCTTCATTATCTGTGTTTGCAGTTTTTCCAGAACACACCCACGTGCAGAGGTTAAGCATGGAAACACACCCAAAGCCAAAGATAAAAATGTTGTATTATTCATCATTTTGGGGTACCTATGTTTCTCTTCCCCTCTCTTAGTATGGATAGTCATGAATTGATTCTATTTTGTTTCCTATAATTTGTCCTATTCACTTACCAAGACACTCTGACAAGTTTTTCAATTAATGTTTACAAGTTTCTGATCTATAAAAAATAAACTATAAATAATACATGTATATATGATTATATATTATACAATAAATACAAAATATAAATAAATATACTGGTTGAAGCTGACAAATTCAAAATAACAAAGAAAAACTGTAAGTGTAACACATACAGTTTATGGCCTCACAAAAAAGGAGGGTGCTATTCTCCACGGCTACCACAGTTCAGCTCACCTATTTTATGTATAGGATGTATATTACAAGAGGTGAGAAAATTTACTTCCTTCCCTTCTTTGCAAAGGGGAGGGGATCTTTCTGTCTGTAACATCATATATGCTATTGCATTCATTTGTGGTGTTGGTTTTTCGCTGAACAGCTACTTTCAGCCCCACCTTCCCCTCCCCCCCCCAACTCTGGACCCTTCTCAATTGTGAATTCTCTGTTCCAAGGAATAGCTCTCTAGGTAGAGGAGAGGTATACATTTGGGGAATAATGGTGATTTAAAAATAAAAGATTGCAATAATTGTTGTGAAGAATATATCTTACCGCAAAATTACTCTGAGATGCATAATGGAGTGGTGTTGCTCCTTGGCTATCAGATGGAATGGTTCCCAACTTGTTTCTTTCCAAAAGAAGATGGACAATTTGCGCATGACCTAAAAATGTAAAAAAAAAAAAGACATGGCTGTCATAACAGGACAGTTAGATTCAATGAATACATACATATATACATAACAGATTCCAAAATGGTTTGTTTTAAAAAGTGACTTGTTGAAAAATCAAGATTCTCATGTTTAATGTCATAGTCTTTAAAATATCTAGATGTCGTAGGTTTTTTTTTTCATTTTAATAGATTTCAAATTATCTCGATTTGGGAAAAAAAGTTAAATATGCATATTGGTTCAAATGTATACTTCACTCCCCCCCCCCCCAATTTGGCTTATACAAAAACCTGAGCACAGCCTGTAATTACACTCTTAGTAAGAGAAGGATGACAAAGTAACCAAGACAACAATGTGAACAAGAGGGAGAGAATAGTGATGATAAAAATGTACAAGCCATCTTTATTTGAATTGGAAGAGATGTGGGAAAAACTTGCATGGTAGTTTTTTTTAATAAGATCATTTTGTTTCATTTATATAATTTCCTTTCTTTTTAAAGTGAGCTCATTTTTAGGGGTATAGTTTATATTCAGACCTATATTTGAACCAGTATAGTAAATCTCTAATATTTAAGGTAGCTGTTTCAAAGAATATCATTAAGGAGAGGCAAATTGAAATTCTGTACTAAAGCTAGGGTTGTTAGATGAGCCAAGAAAACGTAGCACAAGTTTAAACAGAGATGGGATTTTATATGTGCTCTTAGAGTTAGGACTGGACCAGTACAGAAGGTGTCAGCATTTGACTCCTGATCTGAAGAATAGCTAGCCTTCACATAGTATATGAAAGAACAGTAGTAATTTATTACTGTGGAAAAGCTATATGGAAATTTTTATAATTCATTTTCTGGTAGTCTTCCAACTGTGTTTTTGCAGGAATGAAAGGATAAAGCTAAGTCTTGTTAGCTTCTTTCCTTAATATTCTGGTAAAAGGTTTAAATCCTATAAAACATGAAAGAATTTCTTATTACTTCCCTAGTTTTCCAACATAATTAAAATGAGATACTTGGAAAAGTAACATTAGAAACATGCAGGAAAATGTATTACTTGGGAATGTTCTGTTGATGAAATAGGTCTTGTGAGAAATGTAAAATAACAGAATTAAAGTTGAGGAAAATCTCATTTTTGTATTGTGAAAGTCTTAGATTTTAAAATAAAATTTAACTTAAATTTTAGGAGCTGTAAATATTGAGAGACAGGATGGCTTAGTAGGAAAGGTCTAGATTCAGAGTCAAGAAAGATGTGATATCGAGTCCTAGATCAACTATTTAGCAGCCATGTGGCCGAGCCTGAGCCAGGAGAAATGGAGATAACGTATTGCACTCTCTGCATCAGAAGGATGTCATGATGAGAATACAAGATAGTATTCTTAAAGAGCTATATAAATTTGACTTGTTATTGAGGCTGAATTCATTAATACATACCATACCAGCATGGTTTCTAATTGATTAATCTCCTATCATTCTTTACTATTTTATATTGAGAGAATCAGACTAAAAGTTGCACGGTTCTCCAAAAGTGATCCAGTCCAATGCCTATTTGAGCACAGGCTAACAAAATGACATATATTTAAACACTTCACCAACACATGGATGCCTACTTCATTAGGTAGCTAATTCCCTTTCTGGATGGCTCTAACTGTGCTTTATATTGAGCCCCATCACTTCCTTTTTGGTAACTTTCACTCACGGGTCCTATCTCTGCCCTTCGTGGCCAAGCACAATAAATCTAAACCCATTTCTATCTGACAACTCTAAATAATTGGAAAGAGTGACCACCTCCCTCCTATATCTTTTCTTCTCAATTCCTTCAAATGATTCCTGCACACCATTCTGGTCATTCTCCTTTGGATATACTCCATGTTATCAATACCTCTCCTTAATTATGGTGGATAAAATTCTTTGGATCCAACAACAGTCAGACCCTATGCAATAAATATTTGTTAAGTGTCTATTATGTATTTAGGAGACACTGAAGATGCAAAGATTAACCAACAAGCACGTTTAAACTACTTTCTATTTGTCTAGCCCTGTGCTTGGCAGATACCCTGCCCTCAAGAACCTTACAACAAAATAACTATCACCTCCTTTGTTTGAGACTATACTTATGTCAATGGCCTGAGTTTTTATTAGCTCCCATTTTACATTGCTAACTTCCAGGGGTCTTTAAAATCTAAGGTCTTTTTCACATAAATTGTGTTGCAACTTCCCCCACTCCCACTTTTTTCCCCTCCCCAGACCCTCTCCAAATTTGTACTCGTGAGGCTGATTTTTTAAAACTTAAATAAAGAACTTTATAGGTATCTCTACTAAATGTCATTATCATTGGTCCATAATATTAGATAGCTTCCCAATTTCATTTTGGATCTTTGCTTTGATACCTATCCCAGCTTTAAATCACTGACAGACTTAATATGGATGCCCTCCATTTCTTCATCCTGATGGGGTGCTTATGTTTGGGTGCTTGTACTTGGACCCCAATTTCTCCCTAGCCTCAGAAACGCTGTCCCTGACAGTTTCTCCCCAACCCAAGGACCCTGTGCTTAGCAATTACTCATGAGTGGGCCCCAGCAAGACCCTTATCTCTCTCCCTGGTGCAGTTCCAAACAGCACCTGAAGGATTTATTAGTTTAAACTGGCTTTGCACTGGGTCACAAAGACATTCTTACCCACTACTATACTATCCTACCACCCTACCACATTATCTACATCCTGGGCTCCTCATTAACTGTATTCTAGACTTAAGACATATGTATACTCCCTACATCTATCTTGTTGAACAAGACATTGATTGGTGGCAGACTGGACAACTCTCAGTTACCCTGAACTTTAGGTGACTTAGTGATGTAGCAGGCCTAAAACCACACCTCCATGTGGCCCCCCTTGTGGGCTTTTCCTAGTGAACTCTGGGTAAAATGCCTGCGCAGTAGGTACAAGAAGTGCATGTTTTTTTTAGAACTGACCACTCCTTAACTACTTCCTAATCCCACCCTGAATCCCCTAATTAGCATATTTGGCACATGTTTTATTGTATTTTATCCTATATAAACTTTAACTGTACCTCTCCAAGGTTGCAGGATCCTTTAAGAATCCTTGCCCACTGAAAAGCGTAACAATAAACTTTTCCACCTTGACTTAAAGAATGATTGAGTCAGTGAATTCATTCCAGACGACCCATCCTGTAATTCAGTCTTTGAGGAGTCACAACCTCTCAACCTCTCAGCCTGCAACAATGCCAGTCACTGTTAAAATTTAGTACAGAATGGGGTCAGTGGCAAAAAAGTCCTGAAGTATTCCACATTGATAGTAATTAATGCTTTTTAGAGCTAGACACTTTAAAACAGTATAAATCTCCCCAAGTCTACTTTCATTCATCCCACATTCCTCCATTTGGTTCACAAGAATATCATGAGAGACATGTCAATCAGATGCTGCTGATTGGTCCCCATGGTCCCTGGCAAGAGGGATGGAGCAAGGTTGTGTCTAAGATGAATGGTAACTGATCAGGAAGAGGGCTCCACCTTTCTCCATTTGGTTCACAAGAATATTATGAGAGATGTGTCAGTCAGAAGCTCCTGATTGGTCCCCATGGTCCTTGGAAAGAGAGATGGGGCAAAGCTGTGTCTAAGATGACTGGTAACTGATCAGAAAAGAGAGTCCACTTAACAGACTTTAAAAAGAGCTGTAACTTCTATTCTCATTCTTCTTCTCTCTGAGCATGATTCTTGGGACTCTGCGAATGTCTTAAGCTTAGGATGTGTTGAATGCCTTGTTGATTTCTATGTAGTTTCCATCAATTCCCAGATTTAGCAGTCTAGAAGCCTTAACCAAAAGTAAGCATAAAATAACATTTAAATGGCTAATAGTTGGTGACCAACATTCAAAGATGTTAATATCATAGTAAAATTTCACAATAATTTCAAGGAAGGTAAGTTTAAATTAGAATAATGGGTCACTGGCCAATAAACCCAGTATTTGTGAGCATGTACAGGATGCTCAACTGATATAATCTTCAGGTGGACTTTTGAGTGTGTGGAGACATTTTATAATTGGCTCCAGCCTTCTAACCATATGAAGAACCTCATTGAATTGGCTGACCATTAGGAATTGGGGTTATATACCAGAACCCGATTCTTCTTTTGGTGTAGGTTCTCCTTGACTGGAAACATTTCCAAAAGAGATAATGCCAAGAGGAGAGCCCACCTCACCTAAAGCAGAGCTGTGGGTTGAGAATAATTGCTTTGCCTCATAATTTGTTCTTTTATTTTAGATGGAAGTCTTTCATTTTAGGTAGCTGCCTGGGAGTGAAGCCCAGCTGGGGTTCTGAAGTCAGCCTATCCAGCACCAATGCCCAGAAGAGTCAGGGGCAGCCTTCTAGCTCTAGACCATTGGTAGGTGAGATAGGGACTTATCTAGCAGCCCATGCCACATTTGAATCTGGACTTAGTAGGACCAAATCTATGTAGAAACTATGTTAAGTCTTAGCTCACTCACCCATTATAAGTGCCAATTGACATTAACTAATTAAATGGAGCTGGGGTGTTAATCCCTGGTAGCTAACAGTAGAACACACAGGAATAGGGGTCTAAGACAGTAACATTAGAGAAAAAAAACCCTCCCATCCCCTCAGGGGCGCCCTTAAGAATGCTAAAGGGATGCAGCCTTACTTAAAAAGTTAAAGTGAGCTCATAATACTCAAGGTGCCAGAATAGCTGCCATCTTTAGTGGGCATCATAATCCTCTTTACACTAGTTATTTGCTTCATAAATATTTTCTAGCACATGATTACATAATCTGAAGATAATATAAAGGTAGACTTCAACCCAGCCCTGGATGAATTTTTATTATTTTCAAATTTGTTGACTCTCAACTAAATAAGCTTTTCTTCTCTTTTGCTTTTCAGGCTTTTCTCAGAAACCTCATGATAGCTCCACTGGATCCAGATATACTTGTTACCATATTAAAACAAATTTTGGCTGAAGGTAAGTGGTGCAGTGGA